GGAAATTGTGAATGTTGTGTTTTTAAAGTGTTGTCTTTGTCTATTTATCCCCCCTTGTCTATTGTGAGCCGCCCGGAGTCCTTTGGGAGTGGGCGGCATACAAGACAAATAAACTAAACTAAACTAACTCTGGCTAGTATAAAAAATTGTTTGCTGTTACCTAAATACATTAGCCTCGGGTCTAGGGCTATGAAATATTTTAAGCCTCGTGTAAATAAATAAATAAATAAAAATTACAAATAAAATTTCCTCAATCTTTTACTTGTTAAAAAAATCAAAAGGGGGTGAGGGACAGTTCAGGGAATTTATTGTGGGTAGAAAATATCCAAAAAAAAAAAAAAAGAGTATGAATATCTGCGTATCAATCAGTTGTCGCCAGTGATTCAGCTTACCCATATTTTGATGTTAATAGGTTGTCTGAACCTAATGCTGCTAGTAATTTTGTCCTGCTTATTGAAAGAATATCCTAGCCAAGTTGTGCAACAACTTCAAAACAGGAGTTTTTCAGAATGTTATAAAAAACTAATATACACAATCTAATGTGGTTTCCCATCACTGCCCCTTAAATTACCAACAGCACCACTTTCTGAAACAAGATCTCTGACCTGCATTCTGATCCATTTTGATCCAGCTCAGCAAAGAAGACTTAACCCAAGCCTCAGCTATGTGGCTATAGAGATATCATATATCCTAGGTCACAATGTCTAGGTGAGGTCATGGAAGACTTGAAATTAAAGTGACCTAAACTTGAGGCAATAAACATGCATAACATACAAGCAATCATAGTCATATGGAAATGTCATTATAATCAGAAATAATATAATTTGGGATTCTCCATTGCCAGCTGACATTTTAAGACATGAACAGTTCTGTGATTAGTAATAGTTGTTGGATGTATCCAGTAAACACACTGCTTTAGAAGGGCCTGAAGGAAAGGAAACTATCACAAAAATATAGTAAAGAAGAATCAACAGTTAGATTATCAGATCTCTCAGCAACAACATGGACTTTTTACAGTTTTTGGAAGAGGAGGAGGAGGAAGGTGAGATTGCAGTAAATGTATTCAATTTTTTTTTAGCAAAATAAACATACCCTAAAGAATGCCATTCAACTTTTAGCAAATGTTGTAATTATGCAATGTTGACTCTGTGTATATGTGAGATCGAAAAAGGGGTAATGGACACTGATGTCTCTATGTGTAAAATGGACCAGTTGCTAGATCTGTATAAATGCAGAAATGAAGATAACTGCCAGTTTTCATTTATTTTCACCAAGAAACAAAAAATCAATTAGATTATTTAGTTTGCATTTACTATAGTAAAAAAAAGTGAACTATTGCATCTTGATTGAGCAGCTGATAATAAAAAGCCTATCCCTAGGCCCCAAAGAGTAAAACAATGCTGTTATTACAAATGGAATGATCCCTATTGGGATATAAGAGGCTTACTCACTGTGTGTGAGCTTCTTACAGGTTGCACTGCTGGAATTCAGCTAAATAATTAGTATTTGTTTTAAAAATAAACTGATAAGAAAAATATATATGGTAAACTTCTTGTGAACCTTCTTACAATAGTTGCTTAATCCTTTCCTTCCCTGCCAATTTTCTCTCCTATAAGAAAAATGTAGTTTGTGACTGTAAAACATTTGCTTCTTCCTGAACTAATCCAGGGGCTTTAAGATAGGGGTCAGCAATCTGTGGCTCTGGAGCCGCATGTGGCTCTTTTATCCCTCTGCTGCGGCTCCCTGTTGCTCAAAATATGCGTTACACCCGCCAATGTGCGACACCCACTGGAATATGATTTCTTGAGCTTTTCAACCCCCGGTTGGCCAAACATGGTGAAATCCAAGAAAAGAAAAGTTTCAGAAGAAAACAGAATGCTTACTTCAACTACATATACTATTAGCTTTGTGGCCGCTCAGAAAATACTCAGGCATGGGAAGGGTTTTGTGGCTCCCGGTGTTTTCTTTTCCACGGGAAACAGGTCCAAATGGCTCTTTGGGTGTTTAAGATCACCAACCCCTGGTCTATAAGATGCACCTAAATTTTCACCCACTTTTAGGGGGGAAAGGTGCGTCTTATAATCCGAAAAATACAGTACTATGTAGTTGAAGTA